TATATATATATAATTTTTTTATTTATTTATTTTTTTTTCACTGCCTCTTGTTCAAAACATGCCTGTCAAAAATGTGAATATGGAAACTGACGATAGCGTTGATTGCTGTGAGGGTTCACCCCCGTCTGCCCGGCTGGATCGCTGCCGTGAGGAGAACACAGCGGAGGTGTTTGGTACGAGCAATACGGTGATCTCCGTCGTCTGCTGCAGACCGGCGGTGGTGACCGACCCGTCGACATGCATTCATCACGCTCGTGGCACTGATGCCCCCCCCCACCCCCCCGGCAGCTCTTTAGGACATGTTGATGTGTAAATGCTGCCTACGGAGCTGTTTTACTGTCATGAAACATTTAAAAGAAATTTCTAATTTTGAAGTTCAAATTGTATTTTTATTTTTTTTTGTCTTGCTTCTGTCTCTTTAAATTATTACCCTTCTCTTGTCCCGGACTTTAAGAACAACAACCGAGGTTTTAAACCAGGACAGGATTTTAACTGTTGAACTGAAGAACAGTATATGTACATAGTCGCACTTTAAATTAGGTTTTTATGCACCTTTTGTGGGTCTTGTTTCAGATATAATCACCGATCATAAGCAGTATTATTACCCAACATTTTCAGGATGACGCATTTGTGGTCATTTGAATAATTGCTTATTTGTTTGTTAATATCCTCAACTTAAATCAGTCAGCTAAAAGCCTTAAGACTCCGTCCTGGGATAAGATCCAGTTTTATTGTTTAATTTGATATTCCTCAATTAATTGGTACTTATGTTTACATCCACATTTGTAGTGACAAACTGCTCTTCTGAGCTTTTTTTTTTTACTGTCTTTCAGCTCATTGTTTGTGGTTTCCAGCTGCAGCAGGCAGATGTTTTCAAAGAATAAAAGCATTGTATGCTACCTCTCCAGCTCCAATAAGCAGACTGAGAAGATAAGCCACTCTTGGTGAGCAGCATTTGACATTTAAAAAGCCAGATATGTCCCTCGGGAGGTTGGTGGAGAACAAATTTCAGCTTAAAATAGAGTGAATATTGCTCTTAAGTTCATTACGTCACCCAAAAACATGGCTGCAAAGCAAATGTCTCTGCTTTGTGTGTAAATAGACGACTCTTTCCTAATACCTTCACTGTGTCAGCTTTATGAGGTGATATGTCATCATGGCTGTGTTTACAGCTTGTTATGCTGGTCAGAGGAGTACATTTATTCTTTGATGATACTAGTTTGATAGAATCCCATTTCAAGTGTATTTCATTTTAATTTCAAATGTGTGAGTCATGTCTTTAAAAAACTGGATTCCAGTGATGAAAGCTAGCTTAACTCTTACACATTCCGTGTTTCTACTCGTTTTAACTGAACACAGCGACACAGAGTGCTTACTTTGTAACTATTATCGGCTTTTAGTCGCGTAACATAGCATTTAAATGTCACTTTTGTGGCCCTGTCTTTGCCTTCATTTTCGTTGGGCAATATTGACATTTCTGGTTTTGATGGACGCGTTTCCGGCCCACCGTACTTCGCACCAGCGACGTGTGAATAGGGGTGTTCACTAACAGCAAAGAGGGGGGGGCCTTACTTAATGTATTTATTTTTTATTTTCACGTACCCTCCCGCGTACTTAACACCGTCGTAAGTACATTTTATCCACATCGGTGGACAGCTAGTTGGTTTTTTAAAGCTTTTTCGTGTCGCGACACCAGGACGCCACCCCTCCTCCACCTCTTTTTGTTCGTCGGTCGTAACGTCCGAGCGTCCAGCTGATTGCTTCGAGGTGCCGTTCAATGATTCCCGTTCAAACTGAGACGTTTTGTTCCACTTAACGGATGGTTTTTTTTTACGTTTTTTTTTTTTTCACCGACTTGTGGACTTTAAAAGAAAAGAAGGGGACATTCATCATTTTATTTTTCCGTTTAACTTGAGCGTTGGATCGGTTTTTTTCGACAAGGCCCCGGACTCATCCCCGGCCTCGCGTTGTTTTTTTTGTGTTGGAAGTCATGGGAGACACCAGTGAACGAAGCAAACCTCCGAGTCTACCTCCACGGTGTCCCTGTGGATTTTGGGGGTAAGAGTTAAAAACCCGATATATAAACTAGATTAAAACCCAGAAAAGGTAAATCCGGATGAAATATATATAAATATATATCCAACTAGTCCAAACCCATTGTTGTTGTTCTGTAGAGCAGGCCGAGGGTGGGGGGTTGGGAGAAGTTATCTAATAAATAAACCTCAATAGCGTAAGAAAATTAGCTACATTTCCACCATTTCCACGTGTGTAAAACCCCACTTTTATCGAGCCAAACCCGGGCTAATATTCTTTAAATCGCGCTACATTGTGTATTAAAGGTGTATTTTTGACGTCCCCGAGATAAAACATGATTTATTGCTAGCAGGTTCCTTCTTTTAAACCTCCTCACACCGCCGTTATCTTCAGTCACCTCACAGAAAAGCAACATTAAAACGACTAACACTTTAGTTAAGTCCTCAGACCCCGAGCTTTGCTTATCCAGCAGTTCTTATGGAGTTATTTCACACCCTTTTAACAGTCAGTGTTGCATACCGGATGTGATTCACTGATGTCTCCTGTGTTACCTCATAGGAGACATGACTGCACACTCAACCTTCTTATTCCATCAAACAGCTGCTTCTCTCTGTAGGGCTGCTGGTATGTTATTAAAGCAGCTGAAAACAAAGACTACAATATATATATTATAGTGATATAATATTACTAACCACCATAGAACACCATAAAGCTGACTCTAGACACAGTATACACCCCTGTACTCTAATATTAGTGATGTT